GTTATTCTAGAAATTTCTCTGGCACTCAGCCAATGAATTGACCAAACTTTGATCACAACGTTTGATCCGAGCCAGTGAAGTTTATTAGTAAATAGCTCCCAAATGTTTATACCAAGTCATAAACAGTGACATTTCAAACTCCATTTCAGGTAATATGGTGCCAGTCTATCGAGCAGACTGCCATGATCTGTCCCTTTATTTGGTCAACACAGGAAATTGCACATCCTGGCTGCAGTTTTAACTGAAGTCAGAGTTTAAACTAGCTTGACCAAAATTCCCAGCATGCTTGATTAACAATTCTCGTAGCCATTTCTGCTGCTGGCCACCTGACCATAATAGTATGATCAAGCAGAGACAGCTTGTCTTCATAAAGGGGAAATCATGTCTGACAGATTTATTGAAATTATTTGAGGTAACAAGCAAGATAAAGGGGAAGCAGTGGATGTAATGTATTTGGATTTTCAGAAGGCATTTCATAAGGAACCAAATGTTAGGCTACTAAATAAGACAAGAACACAAAGTGTTGAAGGTAGCATATTAGCATCAATAGAGGATTAGCTAACCAATAGAAGACAGAGTTGGCATAAGGGAGTGCCACAGGGATCAGTGCTGGGGCCACGATTATTTACAATATATATAAATTACTTGGATGAGGGGAATGAGTGTACTATCACCAAGTTTGTGGATGACACAAAAATTGGTGGGAAGGCAAGTGGTGAGGATGATACAATCTGCAGACATGTTAAGCAAGTGGGGGAAAAACTTGGCAGATGGAATATAATGTGGGAATGAGTGTTCTACATTTTGGCAGGTGGAGTAGAAGAGTTGAATATTATTTCCATGGAGTAAGACTGCAGAAAGCTGCAGAAGAGTGATTTGGGAGTCCTTGTGCATGAAATGCAAAACGCTTGCCTCTAAGTTCGGTGGGTAATTAGGGAGGCAAATGAACTGTTGCCCTTTATTTCAAAGGGAATGGAGTGTAAAAGTGGGAGATTTTGCTAAACTATACAAGTCACATCTGGAACACAGTGAACAGCTTTGAGCCCCTTATTCAGGGATGGCATTGGAGGAAGCCCAAAGGAGATTCAGTAGCTGATACCACGTCATAGAAATGTACGCATAGAAACAGACTCCTCTGTCCAATATGTCCGTGCTAACCAAATATCCTGAGTTAATCTAGTCCCATTTGCTAGTGTTTGGCCCATATCCTTCTGAACGCTTCCTATTTATTTACCTATCCAGATGCCTTTTAAATGTTGTAATTGTACCAGCCTCCACCACGTCCTCTGACAGCTCGTTCCATACATGCACTGCCCTCTGCGTGAAAAGTTTGCCCCTTAGGTTCCTTTTTAAATCTTTCCCCTTTCACCTTAACCTATTCCCTCTAGTTCTGGACTCCCTTACCCTGGGAAAAAGACCTTGGCTATTCACCCTATCCTGCCCCCCATGATTTTCTAAACTTTTATAAGGTCACCCTTCTGACTCCGATGCTCCAGGGAAAATAGGCCCAGCCTAATCACCCTCCAACCCTGGCAACATCCTTGTAAATCTTTTCTGAAACCTTTCAAGTTTCACAACATCCTACCTATAGCAGGGAGACTTGAATTGAACGCACTATTCCAAAAGTGGCTGAAGTATGGAGGAACTTAATCAGAAAGTGGCTGGGAGTGGGGGAAAAAAAGAAGCAGTTCTTCCTTTATTAATTGAATTTCCATCAAAGACAATTGCAACTGAATTGTGAACATCTGACTTGTAGCCTTTTGTCTCAGAACTGATCAAGCCTGGGTCCGTCCTCGGATGATTCGTTCATTTCCGCCCTGAGCTATATGCTTATCAAATGTGTCATGTTCCTTATTTTGTTTTCAATATAATTGCACTGTTAATAATATTGATGTCTTTGAGATTCACGGTTGTGCAATTAACATAACATAATGAATGTAAGTATGAATAAGCCACGGGGTCCTTTAGAATTACTCTACCCCATTTAGTAAAATAGTGGTGGATCTCTTCCCTTGACACCACCCCTTGTATGTTTCCATTTTCCTTGATTCTGTTAGTATCCAAAAATTGATTAGTCCCATTGTTCAGTATACTAACTACTGAACGTCCACAGGCCCTCGGATTGTAGTGTTAGAGCCATTGACACATGTAGTACAGGAGGAAGACATTTCATCTGTCAAGTCCACATTGGCTCTCTCTGGAATAATCTGGTTCCCCTCCGTTGCTCTGCATTTGGATGACTGTAGAAATTAAAAATTCCAAATATTTGCAACCCTGTGAGTGAAGAAATTACTCCTAAGTGGCCTTTACTTTATCCCGAGAATATGACTCCTAGTTCTGGAATCTCCAGCTGGAGAGAATGGGCTCCCAATTTCTACCCTGTCAAACCCTTTCCAAGAGTTCTAAACATTTCATAGATTTGAAAAAGGCATGATGTAATAGGAAAACTGCAGTGTTCAGTTATCAGTACTGCAGTAACTGCAATCACTTTTAAAAAGTTATTTAGGGGGTTGTAATGAGGCTAGGAGATCTTGTGATGCAGTGAGTAGTGTCCCTGCCCCTGAGCCAGAGGCCCTGGATTCAAAACCCACACCAAGGCTTTTTGGCCAAAGAAGTGCATGACATGAAAAAGTTCATGATGTGCCCAATGATATTCAGTATCAATCTGATAGAAAACTAGAACAGCTATGTCATTGTCTGAAGCTATGAATACATGTAAAGGTGCATAGCCATTATGGATCAGATTGATGCCAACATCACATGGATCCCTGTTATGTGCCAGGTGGGTTTGGAACTTCCTCCTCGCCCTTCTCATGGCGTAGATCGTGCTCTGTGGACTGGAGCTGCCTTCAAGCAGAGAACTAAAGAAGAAATAGTATCCAGTCAGTGCAGTAGCATATACGGTGCACCATAGTGGAATGATGAATATTTGATGAAGCTCTTTCCCACATCCATTCATTTACCTATAGCTGAGTTCCCAATCTCAGTTGTGCTGCTGTATGAAAGGATTGTAAGAGCCCATTACCTGTTCGGTGTTGTGACTGAAGTGTTATGGGGTGTAGATACAAAGGCAGAGTTGGAGTTATAAGGAGAGGCTAAATAGGCTGTGGCTATATTCCCTGGAGCATTGAAGACTGAGGGGTGACCTTATGGAGGTTTATAAAATCATGAGGGGCATGGATAGGATGAATAGCCAAGGTCTTTTTCCTGGGGTAGAGAAGTCTAAAACTAGCGCGCATAGGTTTAAGGTGAGAGGGGAAAGATTTAAAAGGGACCTGAGGGTCACCTCTTTCATGCGGAGGGTGGTGTGTGTATGAAATGAGCTGCCAGAGGAAATGGTGCAGGCTGGTGCAATTGCAACATTTAAAAGGCATCTGAATGGGTACATAAATAGGAAGGGTTCAGAGGGAAATGGGCCAAATGCTGGGAAATGCAACTAGGTCAGATTGGGATATCTGGTTGGTGTGGATGAGTTGGACTGAAGGGTCTGCTTCTGTGCTGTACAGCTCTGGACTCCAGTGCTGAGGCCACAACCAGATCAGCCATGATCTTATTGAATGGCAGAACAGGCTCAATGGGCAGAATGGCCTATTAGCCATCCAAAGTGTTATGTTCCTGTGGAAAAGGAAAAACTTGCTTTGGTGCCTTTCATGAACTTGGGGCATTCCAAATGCTTTGCAACCAATGAAGTACTTTAGGTCTAGTCACTGTTTTAATTAGGAAACATGGCAGTTATTTTGCACCCCTCAAACTCTCACAAGCAGCATGCTTTTGCAATCGTGTAAATTCTTAATGTGATATTGTGGGATAAATATTAGGGCGAGGGCTCCACGGTCCTAAAATAAATTGTACTGTGGGACCTTTTGTTTCCACCTGTGAGAGCAGATAGAACCTCAGTTTGATGTCTTGTTAGAAAATTAGCTCCTGTGACATTGGAATGCTCCTTTGGTGCTGTACTTGGAGTGTTGGCCATGTACCCGATCTCTCAACCTTCTGACTCAGATGAGATGGATTCCCACTGAGTCACAGCTCGAGTGTCAATAGACGAGCAACCAAAGTGTTTGCTTCATCAGCAACAACTTGCATTTATATAGTGCATTTAACGTGGTGTGATGCACTTCACAGAAGTGAATCAAATGAATTTCGACGAGACACTTCGAGGAGATGACTAAACATTTAGTCAGAAACTGTTATATCCAAAAGGCAAATAGAGATGGAGAAGTTTAGGGAAGAAAATAAGAGAGTTAACTGAAGGCATCGCCTTCAACAGTGGAGTGATTAAATTAAAACATAAACAAGAGGTCAGATTGGAAGAGTGCAGGAATCTTACAGTTGTGTCACTGGTGAAGATGATATAGAAAAGGATGAGCTAGACCTTGGGTTAACTGGAAATAAATGAAAATTGTAAAATAGATATGTTGGCGCCCAATATAGCAATGTTGGTCAGTGAGAACGGGTGATGGGTGAATAGGACAGGATGCAAATTGGGAAAAGAACACAGAGTTTTGGATAAATTCCAGTTTTAGGTGGGAGGCTGGCTTGGAGTATATTGAAATAGTTAAGTCTGGAAATAAAAGAAGCTTAGATGAGGATTTTGGCAGCAGATGAGCTGAGTTTGGAGAATTTTGGTGGGGGGACAATGCTGTAGAGGTGCAAGGGTATGGTTTTGACTCTGAACTTTGGCAGGTTATTCACTGTGGATCAGATTCGATACAGATCTTAAGAATGATCTGGGTCAGCCTCTGTCCGTTACTAGGGGCAAGGATAAAGTTGGTGGCTAGGAAGTCATTTTATAGTGGGGACTGAAAGTGCGTTGGTGCTGCTTGTATTTAGTTTCATTTCTCGGGCACTGGCTCAGAGATGATCATCTATCGTCTTTGTCATGAGACATCTTAGGAACATTAAGGAGGAAATGGAGGGATTAACTAATATTTTAAAACTTGCATCAGCTTTTCTTTATATTGCACAAATCTAAACTGCCTACTTTTTCTTGTCTCTAGGTGACCTCACAGGAAAAGTTCTTGCATATTTAAGTCTTGTCCCAGTATTTATCCTCTTTGGTTTCATCACACTCATTGTGTTCAAGAGGGAGTTGCACTCTGTAAGTTTTGCATCTATTTCTCACGATTCATGAGAATCGTTGTTCTGACTGTTTGTTTCTGTGGAATGGTCTCGGTTCTGCTATGTTCCCTACTGGAAGTCGCCATCCCCTGTTCTCTTGAGAAGATGGTGGCAGGTGGAAGTCTGAAGATTGGTCAAGCTGGCTGCCCCACCTGGCACTGTAGGACAGGGAGCGGGGAGACAATTGGTTGCCAAGGTGGATGCACCAAGGTGTGGCATCACGTGTCCCATGTACCTCATCGGTGGTTTCTCAAGCGTCATTTAAAAGTGATTGATTTCTGTTTATGATGTGTATGTGAATGCAATCTCTAATAGAAACTTTTTTATAATAGCTCCTTAATTTTAAAAAAAAAGCACACTAAATAAATGTAATTTTCTTCAAACCTTAATTTGGACCAGGGTAGTATAGTGGTTAAATTGCTGGACTACCCAGAGGCCCGACCAGTATCTGGAGACTTGAGTCCCAGTTCCACCATGGGGAATGAAATTCAATTAATGAATAAAAATCTAGTCTGTGACATTGAAATTAAAGGAAAAGCTCATTAAGGATGGAGTTCTGCTGCCCTGGCTCAGTCTGGGCCCTGACGTTACTCCAGACCCACAGCAATGTGTTCGATTCCTAACTGACCTGTGGAATGGCCTGGTAAATGACTATTGTGTTCAAGAAGTCAGCACACCACCACCTTCTCAAGATCAGTTACTTGACAGTACACACTGGCCTGGCCAGTGAAATACTTATCCCAAGAATGAATAATAAAGGGTTGTCCCTGATAGCCCAACTAGATGGGAATAAATCTCTGGTGCGTATTCACTTAATTTCTGCACACACAGAGTTCCTCAGCTTAAGCAATGGGAGTCATTTTTTACTCCCATTTCTAAATGAATGGCTCTTACTTGCACTAGGGGGTGGTTTGGTGGCACATGTGCTTTAGGTGGACATGAAAAACCAAGAGAGGTGGAGTGTTCATGAGCCTCTAATCTGATGTTGAGAGTGAGTGTGTCCAGTGGTTGATTGTTCGACTCTTGCTCTTCTGTCCTAAATAAACCATGTGGAAATTCTTACCAGTTGCTTCATAGAATCCCCACGGTGTGAAAACACGCCATTCGGCCCAACAAGTTTACACAGATCTTCTGAAGGCCATCCACCCGACCCCTCCCCTAACCCTATCCCTGTATTTCCCAAAGCTAACGCACCTAATCTACACATCCCTGAACACAATGGACGATTTAGCATGGCCAATCCACCTAACTTGCACATCTTTGGACTGTGGGCAGAAACCCACGCGGACACAGGGAGAACGTGTAAACTTCACACAGACAATTGCCCGAGGCTGGAATCGAACCCGGCTCCCTGGCGCTGAGAGACAGCAGTGTTAATCACTGAGCCACCATGCTGCCCTAGCCACTTGTTGCTTGTTGTAGAACATGTAAATGGATTAAGGGTGGCTCTGAAATATTCGTTTGGTGTGCTTTAAATTTGCACGCACTGTACATTCCCTGGAAAAAAAAATCTTAAGCACAGAAAGTTTGAGGTCATTTTCCATTAGAGCATGCAGATTCTTCCATGCATAAACCACTTGGCAGAACTATTTCATGTAAGAGTGGTTTTATAATTCCTGAAGCTCCTAATGCTGTACAGCAGTATCCCCTTCACATTTAGAGATAGTAGGAACTGCAGATGCTGGAGAATCCGAGACAACAAGGTGCAGAGCTGGATGAACACAGCAGGCCAAGCAGCATCACAGGAGCCAAAAGGCTTCTGATGAAGGGTCTAGGCCCGAAACGTCAGCCTTTTGGCTCCTGTGATGCTGCTTGGCCTGCTGTATTCATCCAGCTCTGCACCTTGTTGTCCCCTTCACATTTATTGAGCTGCTACCCAGCAGTGTAAAGAAAAATTGACTGAGTGAGATTGAGGACAAAGCTTGAAATTTGAAATTTGTTGAATGAAGTTACTGGCCCTCAGACCCACCATCACTACCCTCCTACAGAGAACAGAGGTTGTGAAGCCACACTGTGGGCAGAGTAAATGTGCATCTTGGAAGGAAAAGGTGTTCATGATGCTTGCATTTGTTATTGTTGGGCACTGCTTCCCAGCCAGGTCCCCTCATTGGGAATCTTTTATGCTTCATGTTTTTTTTATGTGCAATGCTGTAATAAAGCAACTGCTTCAGATGTTAACAAAGGCACCTGATAATTTCAGTACCCTGAGAAACCTCTGTATAGTCTGCAACTTCCTTTGTGAAATACCTTATTCTGTTTTTAGTATTTTGCTTGCAGCAGTTGAAGGTCTTTGGTAAGCGTGTCTCTTGCGTTATGGATTGTGCTGGTGGAGGTTAAGAATTGCGGTGAACACTGACTTCCCTAGCTTCATTTGAAAGAGTTTACAATTTGCACTCTTTGTTATTTGTTTCAGATTTCATTTCTGTGTGGTTTGGTACTAAATGAAAGCTTCAACTGGGTAATTAAAAATGTTATCAAAGAACCTAGACCATGCCAAGGTGAGAGTAACTCGTTGCACTAAATGTTTCCATTACTTCCTTAATAAGGAGTGAGTGTGTGTCTAACGAACGTATCATTGAGAACCAAGTTGTTGTGTTTTCTGGTGTCCAGGCTGCATCCTCTTGCATATTTAAATATTCCTTACATATACGTGATCAAATCATAGGCCAGAATTTATGGTATTTGTGGTTTTCACCTTTTTAATTTTGTTTTAAGAGCAGCATATACAGTGGATCAGAGAACTTAGAGGTGCTGATGGTATTGAAATGGGATTAATCTGAGAATTATTTACCTAATGCATAGTTTGATGTGACTGCTTTGCTACCTACCATCTGCTTTAGTAATTCTCTGAACTTTTGGAATCTGTATTCATTGATCATGTAAAAATATATCTAACAAAGTACTGATAGGGGAAGTATTATTCTACTGAGCTATTACCTAATGTCATTTCCACTTTCAGTAGAGGTTTATTGGTGCTGGTAAACTCCTAGTGCAAGGTGGCAGCCTGCTCCTCTTCATTAGCTGTACTGTTGCCGTGCTGGTAGTGCTAATGGCGGCAGTGTGAGATGAGGGGCTGGATTTCTGTTGGTTTGCTATTGCTCCCAGCTGTTGTGAAAGGGACTAGAACTGAAAAGGCTAAAGAACCCTTTTTTTTAAAAAATAAAGCCAAGCTGTCCTCCCGAACAGAGACCCGATGTGCTATTGAAAAATGGGCTGTTTCTGTTACAGCAGCAGATAAAAAATAGAAGATAGGAGCTGGAGTAGGCCATTCAACCCCTCCAGTCTGCTGCACCATTTAACACGATTGTGGCTGATCATCGAGTTCAATGCCTTTGTCCTGCCCTTCCCCATATACGTTGATCCCTTTAGCCACAAGAGCTATATCTACTCCCTGAAGATGCACAATGTTTTGGCCTTGACTATTTTTCTGTGGTAATGAACTCCACAGGCTCACCACACTCCGGGTTAAGAAATTTCTCCTTATCTCAGTTATAAAAGGTTTGCCCTTTATCCTTATCCAGAACCAGGGTCATAGCTTTCCCCCACCAACGGGAACATCCTTTCTGCGTCTAACCTGTCTGCACCTGTTAGAATCTTATTGGTTTCTCTGAGATCCTTCCTCATTCTTCTAAACTCCAATGAATTGAGTCCTAACTGACTCAGTTTCTCCTCATACTGTTAGTCCTGCCATCCCAGGAATCAATTTGGTAAACTTCAAGCACAGAGCATTGGCTGCAGTGACTACTTCTTTGATTAATTCTGCAGTACACTTTGGACTTTAGTCAGTGTCCCTATCACCTCTTGGAATGATACAGGCAGTTGGAGCTGACTGCCTTTAATCTGACAACGTTGTTGACATGTTGTAAATCTGCTCCTTGTGGTCAGGATAGCTGTGGATGGGATTTCATGCCGTAATTTCCAATCAAAGTCACAAAACACACTGTTCATGCTTTGCAAGAGAAATACAGCACTGTGAATGCTCTGCCTGTTCACAGGCAATTTACAGCTGGGCTGTATTTTTTTTCCCTTTATTGTCTGAGATCTGGTATTGAAAAAGAGGTCTCTAAAATCAGAACGAAGAGGCTGTAGATTGACTTGACCTTTTTTATCAAAAGATGATTAATCCCTGAAAGATTGAAAATACTCCCATATCTACTTCACAGAAACGCAATGTACTATGAATGCTGAAATACTGAGCTATCCCTCAATCTGTGGAGATAGGAACTGGGTTGATGTTTTGTGCATGTGAATTTTCCTCAGAACTGAAATGTGGTGCCCTGAAATGTTAGTTTGGGGTTCTCTCTCTCTGTAGATGCTGCCATACTTCCTGAGTATTTTCAGTTTATATCCCTTAAGTACCTTGTTCCCGTCAGTCACTGTGGGATGGTGGGTTTTGCTCTCATTGTGCTGAAGACAAATTATTGATTTCTCAGGGAGTGGATGGGAATGAGAAGTTGAAGCAGAAGATCAGCCATGGTGATATCGAGTCGCAGGGCTGTATGATCTGCTCCTGTTTCTTTTGGAGAACCTGTCTAACCCATGTGCTCACCCTGAGAAGCTTTCAGCTCATGTAAGAGGTTCTGTTGTTTCATCATTTGTAAATGTTACTCTTGCTTGCAGGTGGCCACAGTAACTTGTTTACAGAGTATGGGATGCCCTCCAGTCATTCCCAGTTCATTTGGTTCTTTTCCATCTACTCCCTCCTTTTCCTTTATTTAAGGTATGTAAGACTCTTGGGTCTGTTTGTGGTTCAGTATTACACTATATTTGAAGGCTAGAAAAACTTGAACTCTTCATTCATGTAAGTTAAATAATAGGGGAGATGATCTCATGGTAGTAACCAGTAATCTAGAAGCCGGGGCTTTGGGGACATGTGTACACCTCCTACCATGTGAGCTGGTGGAGTTTAAATACAGCTAATAAAATCTGGAATTGAAAATGTGTCAAGTGAAATCTACTGGTGATCGTGAATCTATAACCGATTGTTGTAAAAACCCATCTGGACCACTAGTGATCAATGGGGAAGAAATCTGCTGTCCTTAGCCAATTGGCCTGCTTGTGACTCCAGAGGGCCCAGCAGTGTGTTTGAATCTTAAACTTCCCTCTGAAGTGATCAAGCAAGTCACTCAATTTAAGGGCAACAAATGCTGGCCTTACCAATGATAACCACAACCCAAGAAAGATTAAATGTTAATACAAGGAGCCTTCATATAAGATGACTAGAATAGAGGAATGATTAAACAGGGAGAAACTTCCACCGACAGGAAAGTTAGTAACAAGGTATCTCAATTATCAGATAGTGCCAATAAAGTCAGAGGGGAGATGAGAATTATTTTTCACAAAGTAAGTTCAAACGACATGGAATGCACTGCTTGAAAGGAAGGCAGAAGTAGACTTAATAGTAACTTATACAAGGAAATTGGATATGTACTTGAGAAAATAAAAGTATAAATGCAAAAGGCCATGGTGGAAGAACAGGAGTCAAACTAATAGGTCTTTGAAAGTGCTGGCATGGGCACAGTGGGCCAAAATGGCCTCTTGTCCTGTAAAATTAAAAAAAAATATAATCCTCTACCTTTTGTTTCAACTTAAATCAACGCAGATGATGAAAACCTGGATGCTAGGGAGTCATTTGTTCTTTGGAATAAGCTCTGTGTTAGGTGGTGAAGCCAAAAACTCTGACAGCTCTTGAAGCTACTGGATGGCAAGAAGAGAATAATGTGTCTTAACGTTGTGTTTTGGATAGCAACCAAAACACAGGATTACAAATTCCAATACCAGCTACTATTTGGTCTTGGAATTGAGAATTTATTGTCATGTGGTGTGTGTTTTACTTTTCAGGGGATTTTATTAAGAGGGTAGAGGTGGGTACAGTTACAACATCTAAAGACATTTGGACAGGTACATGATAGGAAAGATTTAAAGGGATAAGGCCAAACGCAGACAAATTCAACTAGTTTTATGGTCAACATGGATGAGTTGGACTGAAGGGTCTGTTTCCATGTCGTCTGACTCTGAGGGAATGTGTACGTTTCTAATGCAAGGAGAGGTAAATAGACTGAATTTCCTCCCTTCTCTGCACTGATATTTACGACCAATGATATCCTGTGCTTTTATATACAACAACTGAACACTAAGTGTACTTCTCAGATGTGACCGTGCAGGATGTTTGGATCCCGGTGTGCAAACATAATTCAGGTCCCACTTTAAATTTATGCATTCTGTCCTTGTTTTTAACAGAATGCTTTGACAAAACTGCTACCAATTGGTGCTGGTCAGAGAACAGGCATTTTGTTTTGCATTGCGAGCTAGAGTGTTTGTGCATTATTGTGAAAGAGTGAAGTTACAGCACGCTGAGTTTACATGACCAGTTTCCATTATAAGTGTTGATCTAGGAATTTATAATAGGAAGTTATGACAAAGGAAGCTCATGCATATGTAGTTTTTTAGTGTAATACTGAATGATTAGTCATTGCAGTATTTACTAAGTGCTTAATAGGAGCTTATTGCCTAACAGGTAAATACTGGCAATGGCATTGATGCGTGATGCACAGAGGTTCTTAGCTTTGGTTTCTGGTCTTTGCTGAGTAACTGACCTCAATACAGATGGTGAATTAATGTCAACATCCCTTGGCTAGAAATGAGGTGGTGATGGGAGTGGGAGCGAGCCTATTGACATTGAGTGACCACCATTCGATATGGCACTCCACCAGTCACTTCAGAAAGTCATGATTGGGATTGAGTGTGATAAACAGTTAGTTGTAAGTTTGGTTACACACCTTACTTTGCCCTCTGTGTGGCATAGGTCCTTCAACGAGATACAGGAGAGTTCCTGGCAGTCATGAAGTCAGGACTGAGTGTCATGTGATGTGCCAAAAAACATGCAGATTGATTGGACAGTGCCTGTGCCTGCTGACTTACCTGATCTTCAAAATCTTCTTGTTTTTTAAACCCTTTCATGGCCTCATCTTTACTTATTTCCATAACCTACTATAACTCTACAACCTCCAAAATTTCTGTGTTCCTCCAATGCTGACCTTTTGAGTTATTGCTGTTTTTAATGGCTATACAAGTTTCAGCTGCCTCAGCCTTGGAATTCTCACCTTAAATTCTGTACTTTGCTCTCCTCCATGAAATCCCTTCTTAAAACTTATCTCTGTAATTGAGCCTATGGTCACCAGTCCTAACACCACCTTATGTGACTTGGAGTCAGATTTTCTTCAGTAGTACTCCTGTGGAGTGATTTGGGGTGCTTTCTAGCAATGTTGAAGCCACTATATAAACATGAATTGTTTTAAATCTTGGACTGAAGAATTTCAACATTTATTTAACATAAATACATTTGTTCATTTCCTCAGAATGCACCAAACAAACAATGCTAGATGTTTAGATCTGTTGTGGAGGCACGTTTTATCCATATGTCTGCTGGCTCTGGCCTTCCTTGTCTCGTATAGTAGGTAGGTTATGCTGCTTTTTCTTCAGATTCTTTGTAGTGCTGCTCATGGTAAGTTGGATGTTGCACCGTTTTATAAGGGGAAAGATGGTAAACCATATGGTGGTCAATGTATTATTCTCTGGCTGTGATGCAGTGGCATCCTCTGCAGACCACAAAGCCTGTTGTGAAATAAACACAGCCCCGTGTCGTTCAGAGTTTTAATTACTTATTGAGGGTACAGGCTAGGAATTGAGGAGAGGCAGGCTCTTGGTCAGGAGTGCCAGACATTCAGTGACTGACTGACTTTCTCACTGACCTTTAATTTCAAAATTTGTTTTACATTAGCAGCAGAGTGTGGAGGGAGATGGACTTCTGCAATGCATGTGGTGCCACACAAATTTTAAAGTATGCTATTGTCAGTAACTTGAGGCTTGCAATCCATAAATTCTGTTGCATCAATATCAGGAGACCTGTATCTGATGAGTACCCCCTAGACCAAGGCCCTACAGGTTGCTGATGCCTGTGGAATTATTGATAACTTCAAGAGAAAGCAGGTAAAGTTTTGTTACTGCCACATGTGACCATCCTTTTACCAGTCTTTTGGAAGGTGTGGGGGTGAGGGGGAAGCGGAGGAATGAGAGATTTTTTCCAAACAACGTCCTTGTGACCTGGACTGTTCTGCCTGAAAGGCTGGTGTAAGCAGTTTCATTAGGAACCTGCAAAGGAATTGGAGAAAAAGTTCATATGGTAAAGTTTGCAGAGGTATGGGGAAAGAGCAAGGGAATGGAACTAATTGGATAGCTCTTTTGAAAGAGACAGTGCAGATATAATGGGCTGAATGGCCTTCCTTTTTGTTGTGTAAGCCTATAAAAAAAAATGGGATGAGACAGAGTAAATGCAGAAAGGATGTTCTTAATGACTGGGGAGCCCAAAACAAGGGGTCACGGCTAAGGGTACAAGCTAAGCCATTTAAGACTGAGAGGAGGAAAAACATCTTCATCTGTGTAAGCCTGTGGAATTGTCTGTCACAGAAAACAATTGAGGCCGAAATATTGAATATTTTCAAGAAGGAGATTGATCCCTTCACCTCTAAGAATGATATCTAACGGTATGGGGAGAAAGAGGGAATAGGGCATTGAGTTGGGAGATTAGCCATCATCACATTGAATAGCAGAGCATGCTCAAAGGGCCAAATAGTCTACTGCTGTTTCTACTATATATGTTTTTACGTATGATTCTTAAAAATACATATTTATTTTTGTAGAGTCTATTTGATGTACCATTCCTGGAGCCAAGTGATATATGGAGTTATAGCAGGTGCCATCATGGGATCAGTCTGGTTTATCTTTACACAAGAGGTACTAACACCGCTATTCCCCAGGATAGCTTCATGGTGAGTGCCCTGGGCATCACATTGAAATGGGGAAATAAAACCTTTTTAATTTAAGCTGTTCACACTTCATTATAGGGTTGCAGTTTCTGAAATCATGACTGAATTTGCAAATCTAAACATTTAAAAACATTTCTTCAGGAAATCCTTCACCAGCATGTGTTTGCTCACCTCTTTCTTGTAGTATTTTATAGGCACTGGGTTAGAACTGTTCCTCAACGCTACTGACTTGCAAAACTTCTGCCCCTTCGACCCTGAAACCACTGCTCCTGTGAAAAATACCTTGATCTTGTTTCAAAAAGCTTTGCAGGTTTAGCACCTGAAAGCAAAAGCTCTGTTAATGTTTGGGTACATGTCTTCATTGGGACTGTCTGTATCAGTTCTGCTGCACTAACGTTAACCATAGTGATTTAAACAGGTCTGTAACTGCTACTTTCTCCATTTATTCAGGCCAGTCTCTGAATTCTTCCTGATACGGGACACAAGTCTGATTCCAAACATTCTGTGGTTTGAGTACACGGTTACAAGGTCAGAAGCACGGTAAGATGGTACATTCCACACACCCATGTATTTGCAAATCGGAAACAGAAGCTCTTCCCTTTTCTTGTGTTTTTTTTTACTTGTTCATGGAATGTGGCCATCACTAGCTAGGCCAAGATTTATTGCCCAGCCCTGATTTCCCAAAGGGCAATTAAGAGTCAACCACATTGCTGTGGGTCCAGAGCCACATGTAGGCCAGATTGGGTAAGGATGGCAGATTTCCCTCCCTAAAGAGCATGAGAGAACCAGTTGAGTTTTAAGGACAATCGACAGCAGTTGTATGGTCATTGTTAGGTTACCTTTTCATTCCAGTTTTTAATCAGATTGTAATTTCGCCATCTTCCGTGGCAAAACAAAGTTATTTTCCTTTTGGTTAGTGGTGTGTCTGGCTGAAGTTCGTTGTCACTGCCAGCATTTCTATTTGCCCACCTCAAACTCCAAAGGATCGAACGCCAAATGTCTGTTTTGGCAGAATGGTTAAGAATTCTCAACTCTGAGTCAAACAATAGTTATCGAACCCCATGCTATCCCTGTCCTGGGAGTGTTTGGGGGACAGTGTAGAAGGAGCTTTACACTATATCTAACCCTAGGCAGTCCCTGCCATGGGAGTGTTTGATGGGTGACAGTGTAGAAAGAGCTTTACGTTTGGTATAAGAGAGTTGGGAGAGCTTTACTTTGTTTAAAGAGTTGAGGGAGCTTGTTCTCTTTGCATTTCATTGCTGTATTGTTGCACCCACTGGGGCTTGGTGTTGTTGGACTTTGGCTTTCTCCTTGGTTTAGCTGTTCTCATTTGCCTGCCATTTTACAATTTGGGCTCCCAAAACCAATTGTGCATTTCATGTCACGTCCTACAAAATAAACACCTGACCAAACTCTCTCTCTCTCAACAGTAGAAAAGGAGAGAGAAATATTGGAGTCGGCTGGTGATTCATTTACAGATTGTTGTAGAACCCAGTTTGTGATAGAGCATCTCGTTTTCCAGTTTGTATCACCCCACCAGTGTCTTCAACTGTCTAGCTTCTGGACTCTGTGTAATTTCCTCCCTTCTCACTTTCTGATGAAAAATGATCCTTGAAATCCTGACCAAGATTTTGGTCAACTGACCGAATATCTGGTTTTGTGGTTTGGTGTTTAAGCCTTGTCTTTTTAATATCCCTCTGAAGTGGACTCTGTTTAATGTTATTTATTAAATATCAAATATTTATCAAATATTGTTGTTATCTGGTACTTTTCTGCTGGGGTTATTGGGTGGAGGCTGATGGTCAGAAGAGTTGATTGTTCCCTTAACTTAATTTTCTTGAATTTTTAAAAAATATAATCTGGTTCATCTGCTATAACCACGCTTTCTGAAATCCTCTTCAGTATTGTAGCTTTAACAAAGTCCAAATTTCTTCCGGTAGAATTTAAACTTTTCTTTTTCCTTTGTCCTTGCCTCCAGAAACAGACAACGGAAGCTGGGGACCAAGATGCAGTGAAGTGAATTTGGCATCTTTGCTGGGGGTGGGCCAGGACTGTGGAGTGAGCCCTGGAAGGAAATGGAACAGAAACCAACAACATGAAGAAACACATTTTTAAAAAAAAGTTAATTTTTTGTTTTTGCAGACAGTTGGGGCAAGCTGAGGCGTATGCTGGCAGCCTAAACACCTCCCCCCCCCCCCGTGACAGCAGTCAGTGTTGACACAGCTTGCTGTTAGCTTTCTACTGCATGTTAGACTCTTGTGAACGCTGGACTGAACCCGTTTAAACAAAACCCGTTCACATGGTGTCGGTGAAATGTGATGTTATTGCATCTGTTTCAGGAATTTGGTTTTTCAGTTTAGTAAGAGGTGGTAGGGAAGGAATGGACCAATGGTAGTGGTATGATATTTTGCAAAAAAAAAAACACGTGGCATTTCTACGCTACTGGCTTATAAACAAATGGTTAGATTGGAAGACAGAGATGTTGTTTGTGAATTGTCAGTCAGGTATCTGACTTGCTAGGATCACATCTGTAGCAGCAAGAGTGAACTAGAAGGAATCATGTTGCACTTTAGAAAAATAAATTAGTTTTTTACATTGGAGAACACTAGTGATGAGTGGAAAAACTGGTTTTTATTTTTCTTGTCGGTTACAGTTACAACTAACAACTTGGCTGGTTTAAGAAATCTTTCTAACTAAACAGCTATTAGAACTATTTTTTTTTTTCCCCAAAATAAATCCTTTTATTTCATCTTCTGGATCAGTGAGAGTGAACCAATTATAAATAAGGATTGTCAAAACCTTTTGCTTGCACACGCTCTGTCTGTTGTTCTGTGAACTTTTTATTCTGGTAGTTTTTAATGTTTGATCTTTGTCAAAAAGATGGCCATTTGTACAAGCTGCAAGTCAGGTGATGTGCATTTAGGAATCTGGAGCCTGGGTTGTTGTTAAGCAAATCTAGTCAGGTCTTGTAGTAGCAGTGGAATATTGGACGCATGGGTTCTTTTGGATTCCTCATTGTCAGGCAATGTTAGATGACCTCACTTCAGCAATTGCCTGTTGCAAAAATTAGCATCAAATAGCTGCTTGCGGAAAGGTCGTGCAATTGTTGGATATGGGAATGTTTTATTTTGGGGTTGATGTTGGATGCTTGCTTTTATTCTGAGGTCAAAGTTTATAACACTGAACTAAGGCGAGACCTCGTATGTACTTGATGTTACTTCAACAGCTACCACTACCCTGGCATGAAAAGCACTTGTTTTCCTACCACACAGATGTTGTTGGCTTTTGATGGGAATACATGTGTGGCCATCTCAAACTAAATCTACCTGGGAATACCCTTAGCTCCCCCCATGCTTAGCTACATTCCCAAAATAACACAGTGACTTCTTACGTGGTGATATTACAGGAAGTAAATTTTTCTGGGGACTAATAAATGTTTCTATATTCCATTCAGCCCCTGAGCAACAAAAGCATTGATTGCACTGACCGGAGCAGTTGCTAGTGCAAGATACAAACATGAAACTCGCCAGGATATCCTTTGAAATTTAACTTGAGAATTTACACAAAGCATTAAGCTAATCTTAATACCCAAGAATGACTAATGTAATAACAAGTCTGTTCTTGAATTCTGTTGTGGGAGGCTCATGTGTGAATGCTTAACATTCACTTGCTAATCCAGTGTGTTAAATTGTAGAGAGGAGGAGCTTCAGGTTGTCTCATAGTATCTTAATTTTAGTAACCTTGAAGGGGATGTCAGGGCCTGCTTTAGTTGTCAGCTTAGTGGAATGTTACTGCAGGATGTACACAAGGGATAGGATAAATAAATTGGACCAAATGGCAAGGGCTACTGTGGCGGAGCTGACCACATTCCTGTTTCCTTTGAAGTAAAGCCACCAACCCCACCATATTGCAACATAACAGTGCTGTGCTTCCCTGAGCCCTTTGCCCATTTGGATTGACCCAGGTTGTGAAGCCCAGTATTGTACAGAGGATGCAAGTTATTTAGAGATGGTTGTACTGGCGTTCTGAGAGAATGTTGCAGTGACTGAAATTACAGGGAAATTACTTGATCGTCCTGGTCATTGCAAGTGAGAGATTTTTTTTTAAATCCAAGGCAAATTATTGATGGTTTACTTGTTGTAATTAGATACAATCACAATTTTTAGTTTTTTAACATTCCATACACGATTATAAAATGACTCCTGATTTTTGGTTTTAGATCTACTTTCTTGTAACAGATTTCTTGTTTTAAATAAATGTTTGGAGTTGAAGATACCTGAAATTGTATAAAACAGAAACCATGCTATATAACAGAGTGCTTTTATTTCTGTGTGGATAGAGCGTAGACTTGAGTTCTAGAAAGCTGTGTGTTTTTTTTTCTTCAGTTGTATAGGGATAACAGTTGGACTTTGTGCACAAGACCTTAGTTTTTGCAGTTTCATTGGTTGCCAGTGAAGGTGGTGAGCTTAATTAAACTTGCCAAATTTATCACACCACAGGCTAAAGTTTGTTTTAAATTCCAAAACTATTTAAGATTTTGGTTAGGATTAGCAAAACTGTTCAGATTGGGGAAGACATTTCTGCAAATCTGTATACAGTATTGGGTTCCCAGTTTACTTTAATTTATTGTTTATATATAATGTACTTTTTAATGGTGCTTCTCTGCTTGCTAATAAGTAAGCTCAAGTACATTAATTTCACACTAAAATCAGAGAAATAAATCTAAACTTAATGTCTAATAGTTTTGTTTTATGTTGAAGGTGGGGGAATGATATTTCTGTAAATAAAACCCCAATGATCTTATAATTGCCCAGGCCTGATGTGACAAACTGGCTTTGTGCTGTAATCATTGACCTAAAACACGGATCTGCGTCTGACGTGAATGTCTGGATGCAGCATGAGTTTGTTGTACAGGATTGTAACCAGCTCTTTTAATCCTGAGCCCAGGCTAAAAGGAGAGTCCTGGGTCCAGTGCTGAGTTAACCACTGTCAAATAGTACAATGATTGATTTCTGCAGTTCTCAAATTGACCAGATGTTGCAGTTATGAAGAATGTTTAGATGTGGAAACTGCCACTCAATGGAAGCATGCAACACACATTTTTCAATTCAATTTGTAGTGACAGTAAGAGTCAGACTCTCCTGAAATCTGTCACTAGTGCTCCCACTCTCCCCCTCTTATATCCAACATGTATTAATTCAGTATGGCAGTATGTTAACATTGATTGCATGTAACTCGGAATCCTCTTGTGTCTACCGACTGGGGAAAATGTACCTGTTCTCTTTAGCTTCACCCTCTTAACTCTGAAAAGCAACTGTCAGGCATGTGATAAAGGTGGTGTCTGATTATATTCCTGTGCAATTAGTGTGTTGGAAGTTTAAGTACTAGTTGAGTGTCTGTAGACCCTGCATTGTTTCTGGTGGTTTCTCTTTACAATTAGTGACCCTGATCTTTTTCCTTTTGTGAGTTTATAGCAGTTGCTATTTTGTACTTAGAAATAATAGGGCTGGAATCATACCTGTCCCCCTGCACCAAAATAATAAGTGCAGCCAAAGTATGGCAATCCAAATAGTTTTAAACGTATCCACAATCATGTAGATATTGGCTAAATACAGAACAGGGTGGTGATCAGTGCTTTACAGAAAATAACCACTGGTGTCTGATGCTACTAACTGGGTGATGAATGGAGTTTTCTATATATCACCGGTCATCTTTAAAGGAAGTTTACCTATAAATTGGGTTTGCAAGCTCGCTCAGCTTTATTGCAAAAAAGATGCGATTGTAGGGAAATACTGAATTGAGAACAGAAAATGCTAGTAATTCCAATATGTTTGTCAGCATTTGACAGATGAATAACTGGCTGATCTTCCAGCTTTGTGCTTATGCTGCCTTTTCTCTTTTCAGATTTCTAGCAGTTTCAGTATGTAAAGTGTATTTTGTCAATATTTATTGAAGTGAGACAATACTGAAACCTTCAGACTGCTGCTTTTTTTTAACCTTGTAAACCTTGCTGCTGGTTTGCCACAGGTTAGTGGTACAGTGCTGTCCCACCCTATACAGACTGGCTCTGTATCCCATGGAATATTCCCAGTGTTCATAGGTGTTGGATCAGTATTAAAACTGTGTTTCTCCACAGCCCAATCAAAGTGCAGCTTTTTGTTTCCATTTTTAATAAAAAAAATAATTGTACAGGATGAAACAATTTAATCTTAAATGCAGGCAAATTATTTAATGTTTGGGAGTTCAATTCAGAGCAAATAATATCCAGGACACTATTGGGTAGGTTTTGCGAATTCTGCATTGTGGAGAGTAATCCCACTAGCTCAGTGAGCAGTGCTTCAGGAACACATATGGGGAGGTGGAAAAGAAGAGGTTAATAGTGGGGCCCCATCAAATTTTTCTTTAAAAAGATTCGTAAAATCTACCCTAGTCTGATGTGACTTTTTTTTAAGCTGTGATCATTTCGAGTTGGTTGACTAACCAACTCCTCTCACTGACCTAGTGAGGCATGTGTCTGCTAACTGTATATCTTCCTTTTTTGTCTCAACTTCAACAATGTAGATATAAAAGTAATTGCTATTCAGGTACACAATGAAGGGCTATTTTGAAAAGTGCTTCCTCTAGATGTAGCACGTTTTTGTAGACTGGCTTCTTGTATTCTGTTAGTGTGGTGTTCACTATGTGATTGCCTTATATGGTGCACAGTATCTTTTAATGCTGTTTATTGCTATTTGTAAACTTTGTTTGAACTCTCGTGTTGTGGGAGATGGAGGTTGGAAAAGGGGCCATGGTTTGATGACTAGTTGTATCATCTCTCTGTGTTTCGTGTCCAAGACTACTTTGAATGTGTACAGATCCTGGGATGAAGCAGTCAAACAAATGAAACAAACTGTTTATATTTACTTTAGAACCCAGTTGGAAATAGATCAGCTGGAACTTGGAGCTTGGGAAAGCAGCTTCTTACATCGACCTCAGTGTCTTTGGGTGTTTCACACTTTAGTGAAGGGATGAGCTCTTTTTGCTGCCAACACTCTGGGATCTTGTCTCGAATGGGTATTTCTTTAAGGCGTCAGCCGTGGCTCGAATGGTAGCACTCTTGCCACTTGAGTCAGAAGGCCATGGGTTGAAGTCTCACTGCAGAGACTTGAACGCAGAATCTTAGTCAACGCTTGGGGAGGGGTTGTCTTCCAGATGAGACATTAAACTGAGTTCTGCTTTGTCTTCTGAAGTAATTCATTGGCTGTAAATAGTTTGGGATGTCTAATGTTGTGATATAAAAATGTCTTTTAAAAAATTTTCGTATGTTTGTTTCAGTGTACGATGTTAAAAGATTACTACCTTACAAAGGGTGATCGAGTCTAAGGTGAACCACACACCATGTGATACATATATTTTCCAACCTTCTACAATGCTGAGATTATCCTGGCTGATATACCAGAACCACTAGGTGCCTATCTGTGCTAAGTCACCAGAGCAGTTCTCACACTCTTGTCTAATAAGCAGATAAGTACTGACCATTCTGTGACAACAGTTAGCTGTTCATTTGTTCAACCTGTATTTGTACCATGTAATTTAAAGCCTTGGTGCCTGTTTTTCTATTGCATACTTCAGACTGATTTTTAAATGTGTGAACTTTGCAACAAGTAGATATCAGTGCATTAGTCACGCAAAATTAGCATCCCAGTTGTGGCAAAACAAATTAATATTCCATCTCCATAGAGTGTAAGTGTTTTTAAATGAGTGGCCTCTGTGCTGTGAATATAATGGAGTGTGCCCCCACCTGCATGTCTATGGTTGGGGGCTGGTGTCCTATCTATCTGCACACGGGTCTTAGACAAACTGATCCAGGAGACCGTTTGGTTTTACAGCAGGTCACTGGAGTCTGTGTGCAATCTAAGTATCTAGTGAAATAGTTCATCTTTTAAAGCAAAAGAGGGATGGCTTTCCACGAGAAGGTGTTGAGCAGGATTGATGGTTTAAGTAATTTACAGGCACCAGTCATTCTTGGTGATCGAATCTTCCTGTAGTTTTGAGCTGCTGCAGTATATATCCCAGGCTAATGTTTGTTTTGGCCGTCAGTTAGTGCATGATTTTGGCCTAAATTGTTGTGGAAAATGAATTGACTAGATGCCCACTAAGCTTTTGCCCACCTGGTTTGTTCCACTGGCTGAAAGAGTGGGACACTGTGGCTTGATGCTGTATCTGTGCAACTATCAAAAGAACTTTAGTTAGTGCTAACAGTGCTCCAGTTAAAGGGAACTGGGTGAATTGTTTACTCAGAATCTTATAGCATTTGAATGCATTTGGCCCTTTACCTTTTTTGTTTGTGGTGTCACTGGCCAACAGTTATTGCCCAGAAGGCAGATTGGAATCACCGACATGTAGGCCAGACCAGGTAAGGATAGCAGATTTCCTCCTTTAAAGGACATCAGAGAACCTATTACATTTTTATAATTTAGTTAAAACCACACACTTTCATTCCAGAATTTTTTTGAATTCAGATTCCACTATCTGCTGTGCTAGGATTCAAAACCATGTGCCCAAGAGTCTAGATGTGTCCTTTAGTGACTAACCCCAATTTTAAACATCATTCTTAACTTCTCTCTGCTTGTAAGAAATATCTCACATCTTTCTTAATGATAGGAGACCTTCATACCTACTATAATTCTAGTAAACTTCCACCACACCTTCTCCAAAAAACTCAGTCCAACTGATTCGGCTGGAATCAAGCACAGAGTCTGTGCTCTTCGTCTCTTAGAGCTGATTAATGTATCAGAAATCTAATCAAACAAGCCTGAAGGTTTACTTGTTTGGGAAATGGAAGTGTCACATTGAACTATTTTGATTAAGGCACACTATTACTGCATTAGGAAGAGCTTGATGAGGAGTTAGATGCCTATAAACTGGAAAATCTTCCCATATTCCATGTAACATCCGTCATTACAAAAAGGCTGTTTGAGCAGTAGAATCATAGCCTCTCTCTTCAAAATTACGTTTTTTTTTTAGAAGTATGGTTCACACATCTAAACTGATTCTTAAACATTTAATATAGAACAATTGGCTTCAAACTTTCTCAGCAGGGAGGAGGTGGGCCAACTGTACAATTCCTCTGCCATTGGGTAAGAGTAAGCTGTTGTCTAGTTTGGAATTTGGTGGTTTTAAACTGTGTGTAAAGCTGGCTGAATACCTCTGTGTAAGGAATTAACAAAGGAAATGTGCATCAATGTTCTAATTGTAATTTACTGGAAATATAATGCTTGCCTACCATACTGTTTCCCTTGCTGTGGTCTCTGCATTCTTCTGTGATCAGAGGGTGATGGGCAAACTTGCGGAGTGACCCAGACATGGAAATCCAAACCAGTAGGTTGTGAGCGGAGACTTGTAATTGTCTTCCCTACCACCAGGGTTTGTTTCCTGTCTTTCTCCTGTGACCTGGGCCTAATCATAATCCCTTCATTTTTAAAAAAAAAGTCATATTACAGTTTGTGGGACTTTGCCATGCATAGTTGGCTGCTACATTTCCTACATTACAACAATTCACTAGCACTGACTATAAATGCATCCTTACCCAGAAAAGTTAAGTAGAATTGAAATTGGATTGAAGAACTCAAAGAGCTTCTAAAGTATTGGTAAATAAACGTAGTTGAAACCTCATTCTGCACCGGCAGAAGATGAAAACAGTAGTGATTTGTTAAATCCTTCATGACTGTTCCGCCCAGCAAGTCTGTATGAGTGCCAGAACAGGTCCTCCTACTTCTTACCATAGAGTGTGGTGTGAAACTTGTTCATACTGATTGAAGAAATGCCAAAGTAGAAGAGAGTGCGATGAATGGGTATGCCACCCATTCAATGTAATAAAAGTAAACAAATTTATATGTAAAATTTTTATTACAGTCATATTCAAAGATTATATCACAGTAAAATAATTATAGAGGGGAAATATTTACATTAAAGTCAAGACCATGGCTGTTTACATTTACAATTATCCAAACTAGAGAGCTGGCAAATTAAAACACTGGATTATAAATGGACCAGCTAAAATGATCAATCCCAGGCATGAGTCATGAAATAATTCCGCTCTCCAGTCTAAAATGATTTGTCATAAAAATTAAAGTTCCTTTGAGACCTTTGCACAACAGGAATTCTGATTTCAGTCATTCACTGGGGTGTGTGGTGCAAGGTATCATTTCACACAACTCCAGAAAAAGTGGGCTAATGCTGCTGTTATCGTGGGAATGAGTAAACAGACACTTCTGTAAACGTAGCTGAAGAAACTTTAAGACCGTTATCCCATAGATGTTAAAATCATCTAACAGCACAGGCCATAGACCATGCCTTTAGCAAATGCCAGAAGTAAGGTTCCACAATTTGTATGAATTCTTTTGTTAGGTAAAGAGTATGGTTCCTCTACACTGCCCAAGCCCCACCTCAAACTCGTATCTTTGTGCAATTTTCTGTCCCACATGCACACATTCCAGCACAACTTCATGTTAATGATTCGGAACAGTCAACAATTTATATTGTTTGCTTCAGTGTGCTTATTAGTCCTCATCTGGAAGCCCACCTTATTTCAACAAAAACAAACATTGCATATACCAGAATTGTTTTTAAACTTTGTTGAGGTGGTAATATTGTAGGCTTATCCCATCAGGAGCAAAATAGAATTATGTAACATCCACAGGACTCATTCAGTGCTGTTTTAAAAATTCATTTACATGATTTGGGTGACACAGGCTGGATAGGTGTTTATTTGTCTGTCTCTAATTGCCCTAGAGAAGGTGGTGAGATGCCACCCTCCATGGGGTACTGGCAGACAGTGCTGTTAGGGAGGGAGTTCCAGGATTTTAACCCAGGAACAGTATAGCTTTAGGTCAGGCTAGCGTGTGGAAGATGATCAACCACTCTTCCCACAGTTCTGCAAATATTTCATTTTCAGGATTTCCAGCAACCTCTAGGGGAAGCCATGGAACAGATGACATAACCATAATAATTTCACACCTCACTTCTAAGGGACATGAGTAATTCCTGTTTGACTGCGTACTTCCCCCTGTAATGGTTCACAGCTCTCTGTTTGCAGAATACAAGTGTTCACATCCTGCCTAGTTTCATACAGCTGAGTGCTACTTACAGATTTACTTTTGATTCTTGGCCGGCTGTTCCTTGGTCAACAGAGGTGGAAGTGTGGGGAAAATTGTGTACAAAATAAAAACCTTGCTCAATGCTGAGCAACCCAGCTGACTGAATGGGAGGGATTGAATTCCAATATCTTAAATGGAATCAATGATGACTAACAATTTACTGGCAACATTTATAACATTCAGATCTGAACCTTTAGATTGTCTGGTAAAAATAACTTATAGCTAAGTGGAAATCCTTCTGGCATTTCTCTGCATTTCTCTGTTGACGTTGTGACATAAGGCCTCCCTGAATACAGGTTCTAAAGAGATATTACAGAATATTGAATAATTTGTTCTCCTGTCTACATTATAAAATTTTAAAAAATGCAGTTCTCTTGGGCAGTTGGTGCAGATGTCTGCACCTTGTGAAAAGGTAATGAGTGGGTAACAGTATGGTACACAGTATGGTAACCAACTCCAAAGGCTGGGAAGGATAAGTCTGTGAGAGATTAATTAAAAAAAAAAAATCAGTCAAACTTTGATGATCACTATCCAGTAACTTCTGGTGCTGAACGTATGTGCATGAGAGTGGACTGGGTTTGATTCCTATTTATGGTAGATGCCAGCACTCCTCTGGATAAAGACCAGGCACTCTAGTCACCTGGTATATTCTTTGGGAGAGGAAGCAAGTCCCCTCCATATGACTGAATCATTCACCATTTGAACAAACACTTTTTCCAACATGTATAATTTTTGATAAGTGCTTATAAAATATATTATTTTGTTTCAAATATATAAACTCTAACCTCCTGACAAGATGTTCACACTGACATTTGGTAAACATTTCCTCTCTCGCACACAGTTGCTGGGATTAGTCAATTGAGTGTGACAATTCTTTGGTTGTTGTTGACTCCAGTCTCTTGTGCTCATTACCTGGCTGTTTCAGAGCTTTGAGTTGGGTGTCTGTACAAGCAGCTCCTTAACATCAACCAAGGCCTGTTCCAGGTAATGAGCCAGTTTTGCTGCATTGGTCTCTGCACAGCTGTTGAAAGCAGACACTGCAAAGTTGACATGGTCTTTCATGGGGTTGTAACACACACCATAGCCGTCTGGCACAACAGGCCCAAAGCACATGAGACAGTCTGTTTTAGCAGGTACCTGAACAAAGAGGGAAGATCGCAGAGTTACAACCTTAATCTTCTATTTGTCCTTCTTCAAAGCAAAGATAGTTGGCACAGACCACTGGGAAGCTCTTGGAACTTACACCACCCAACACTTTATGTTCTACCCGCAAATTCCTTCTTCTCTCCCAAATTCTTTCCCGTTTCTGCGACATTGCTAAGGTCAGTGAAGTCCAAAACTCGACTTTTATCATCATCTCCCACCTGCAATTCTGCATATACTAGATGGCTTGTAATGCAAAGACAAGTTTCAGACCCTGAGTACCAGCAAGTGTTCTATCAATGCAAACTCCCAAACACTCATATGAACATGTGCAAAACCTTTATGGTCCACCAGCACCAACTTGTAAAGGTCTGCTGCCCACTGAGCAGTGTTGTCTGCATCAATTTCAAAATCCTTGGCTTCATCAGTAAATCCCTCCTTGGTCCTGTTCTGCCCAACTCCATATCTAAATTGCCTTCGTAGCTCACTATCACCTCCTTCAGGGCAATTATAAACACTGGCCTTACTTGTGAAACCCACACCCTATCAATAATAAACACAAGATGTGGTGTAAGAAAAGGTCAGCTATCATTCTTATTAGAGTTGGCAATAGTTCAGAGTGAAACATTCTCTCACCTCTAACTCGTGGTTGTGGGTATTCATGTCCAATTTAGACTTAAAACTACACACTGAAAGAAGTGTAGAAAATCGGAACAGGCCATTCAGTCCTTTTATTCAGCTTCACCCATCAATACAATCATGGCCAATCATCCAACTTGGTACCCTGTTCCTGATTTCTCCCTGTACCCTCTGATTCCTTTAACCCCAAGAACAAATAACTCCTTGGAAATATTCAATGATTTGGCCTCAATTGCTTTCTGTGGCAGAGTCTTCCACAGGCTCAGCAGTCTCTGGGTGAAGACATTTCTCCTCATCCAGTCCTAAATGGTTTGCTCTGGCTCCTGATGCCCTGGTCAATAAGAACATTTATCCTGTTTGAATTCTATAAGCTTTCTAAGAGATTCCCCATCGCAGCGAATATAGTCCTGATCGATGCAGTCTTTCTTCATACGTCAGTCCTGCTATCCCAGCAATCAGTCTGGTAAACCTTTGTTGATTTCCCTCCAAAGCAAGAACATCCTTCCTCAGATAAGGAGAAGGAAATTGCATACAATACTCCAGGCTTGGTATATTTGCAGGCAGACATCCCTTCTCTAGTACTCAAACCCTGTGGCTATGAAGGCCAAAATACCATTTGCCCTCTTCACCACTTGCTGTTCCTGGGCACCATGACAGAGTGCCACACTGCCAGGAGGCATCTTTCACGGAATCTCAGAATTTTTCAGTTGAGATATTAAACAGATGCCATATCTGCTCCATCCTTCATGAGAGTCCAAAGGATTCCATGGCCCTGCTGAAGAACAGGGAGGATTTTGTAGTGTCCTAGGATTAATATTGATTCCTCACCCAATATCATTAAAACAAGATTAGACAGTTTCTATCACATCACTGTGGGATCTTCCTGTGTGCAAATGTCTCCACTCCCTCCATAACAAGTAATTACATTTCAATTCACAAATACTTCACGGGTTGTAAAGCACTTTGGGATATCCTCTGAAGGGCTCTATATAAATGTAGTTGTTTTTGTTTTCACTTCCACCTGAGCTTTGATGGAAAGTCAGTGTAAACATTCAAACTCAAGCATGTGAGGGAAGATCACTTTCCAGTTCTCCAACAGTGATTGGGCATGGCTGTGAATAACCACTCACCAGCCCAGAAATAAACAAACTTCTGTGGGTCATCAGTCGACTGGACAAGGAGGGAACAGAATGCCTCACCTGACTGGTCGATAGATTGAAGTGAAAGGCAACAGCATAGGATGTATCCATGAAGATCTCTGGGATTCGAACCAGATCCTCAATAGCCTGAAGTTTAAGACCCAACAGGTGTCTATCGATGGCTTGGCCTCTTATTGCCTGGAAGTAAAATTTGGTCAGCACTGTGTGTAGCCCAGATTATTGACACACACCCTCCCACCTTACCATCACGGCCAAATCTGAACCCCAGCAATCCCATCATTAACTCATGCTCCACACATCATTAATCGGGTGTTTCCTGTACCACAGTTAAGTAGCAAGTCAGAATGGTCTTTTCAAACATAAATTCCAGATGTGTATTTTTAAAAAGATTTATTGACAGGATGTGGGTTTCACTGGTTTTGTCAGTATTTACTGCCCAATCCCCTTGTCCTTGAGGACAATAAATGATGGCCCAGCCAGTGGCACCCACAATCTGTGAATGAATAAAAAGAGAAGCAAAGACACAATGAGCAGAATCCCAGACCAATAACCTCCCTTACCACATCAGTGTAGGCTCTGTGCACCTGAACAGCTTTCTTCAGCAATGTCACCTTTTCCTGGTTCTAAATACAAAACCAAAATAAAACAACTTACAGCCAAAAGTGCATGTGTGAACTAAACATTATTTCACAAACTCTAAAGCTGAGGGAGCAGACATGGTCATGGAGAGAGAGAGGAGAGACCGCGGTCAGAGGGGCTGCACGGTGGCTCAGTGGTTAGCACTGCTGCCTCACAGCACCAGCAACCTGGGTTCAATTCCAGCCTCGGGCAACTGTGTGGAGCTTGCACATTCTCCGTGTCTGCGTGGGTTTCCTCCGGGTGCTCCGGTTTCCTCCCATAGTCCAAAGATGTGCAGGTTAGGTGGATTGGCCATGCTAAATTGCCTGTAATGTTCAGGGATGTGTAGATTAGGTGGGTTACAGGAGAATGGGTCTGGGTGGGATGCCCTGAGGGTCAGTGTGGACTTGTTGGGTTGAAGGGCCTGTTTCCACACTGTAGGGATTCTATGATTCTATTCTATGACAGTCAGCAAACAAAACAGGGCAGTCAACAACTTCATCTTTGAATCGGCAGTTCCTGACTGACTTCTGCTGCTACAACACCTTGTATTTATGTAGCACCTTTGATATTACATAATCCGGGTCCTTCACAGGACTCTGGAAGGGAGAGAAGAGACAGCGAGAAAATAAAAAAAAACTTTGGGTGATTTATAGGAAGCAGTTAAATTTTTAGTAGAAGATCCCGTTTCCACTGCAGCATGCTCCAGACTGTAACTAACAGGTTTCAGAAGTTTTCATCACCCTGCAGTTTTTTTATTTCTATTTTGAATTTTTTTTTGTTTTGGTTCCAGATCTCTCAGACTTCTTCTCCCCAGCTAGACTTTATCAAATCACTTCATGACATCCTCACCTGTGATCTGGCCAAGTTTCCAAGTAAACACAAAGTGATCCCCCAGAAGAGGTTTCCTTTAGGAGATGAAGGTGATATTTTGGAGGTTCATGTACCTGGACCTGTGAATTATCCATGGCCCTGACAAAGATGGACGATTCAACAGTTGCCGAGCGGATAGTGTCAGTGCGCCCAAGGTGAAACATCCGCAGGGAAGCACTTTCATAGGTTGCACACAGCTCCGTGTAAATCCTGACGGGAGAAACAAGCACAACAAGATGGTGAGGGAGGGTGGATTCCTGTAGGTCAGGCAATGGGTGGGGGGGAGCTGAAATGGACAGTTACTGGGGGCTCTGCAGAGGGTTTGAGAAGCATGGGCAGTAATGGTACCTTATCTTTTATCACCCTCTGTGTAATCCCTCTTCCTGAAGGCGATGACTTGCTGGCGACACAGCCCCCCCACTGTCCTCTGACTAAGGATGATCAATTTTGGATTTATTCCTTGAGGTTAACACATAGCCTTTCACCTTTACATCCATGTGGTTAAACTGTAACACTCATCCAGTGGAAGAATACAAAAATCAAAGTTTGCTCTGCTTCCAAATAACAGACACCGTGGAAAGGTTCAGGAATTTAAATAAGAGGTCGACTATGTGGAGGGGTTGTCCACACAGGACTAAGTGTGTTGTACTTAAATGCATGCAGTATATGAATCAAAGTTTGAATGTTGCTAGAAATGTGGTAAAAGTTCTGGTGCAAAAACATTTCTCTTTACAATAATCATTTTAGAGGCAGTATCTGATTAGTGTGAAGTACAACATGCAGTGAGTGAGTCAGGAATACCTCGGGAAAAGTAGGTAATTTTGAGGCTGCAGTTCCTGCAGCTGTTCCTAATGGAGTTGGTGGGGGAGGGTTTGGCTTCCCCACCTCAGGTCTGAGTCTGTTTTAGACTCATCGATACAGATTGATCAATAACTCCATTCTCTCTATACTCAATCAACCACTAGCATGGCAGAAAGCAAATCCGATGGGTTTTTAAAACTTGTTTCACCGGATGTGAGCATCACTGACAAGGCCAGTGCTTGTTCTCTATCCCAACTGCCCCGTGAACCGAGTGTTTCGCTTGGCCATTTCGGGGGGGGAGTTAAGAGTCACCTACATTGCTGTGGGTATGGAGTCATGTGCATGGCCAGACCAGGTGTTTCCTTCCCTTGAGGTTATTAGTGAATCATGGAGTAATAGAGATGTACAGCACGGAAACAAACCCTTTGGTCCAACTCATCCATGCTGACCAGATATCCTAGATAAATCTAGACCCAATTGCCAGCATTTGGCCCAAAACCCTCTAAACCCATCCTGATGCCTTTCAAATGTTGTACCAGCCTGCACTTCCTCCGGCAGCTCATTCCATACACGCACCACCCTCTGCATGAAAAAGTTGCCCCTTATGTCCCTTTTAAATCTTTCCTCTCACCTTAAACCTATGCCCTCTAGTTTTGGACTCCCCTACCCGGGGGAAAAGACCTTGACTATTCACCCTATTCATGCCCCTCATGATTTTATAAATTTCTATAAGGTCACCCCTCAGCCAGACAGGGTTTTTATTGAAACAACAATTGATGAGAGCAATGGTGGCTATGAAACAGAGACTGGCTTTGAATTCCAGATTTTTTTTTTTCTTTTTGTTGGAATTCCAGATTCTTTAATTGAATTTAAACCCCAACAGCACCTCTGGTGGGATCTGAACTCAAATGGTTGGTTAGTCAGAAACCAGGAATATACTTTTCTCAGGGATTTATCCCTGTGCACACAATCACAAAACTCCAGCCACACTGCTGACGTGTTCTCCATTGATTTATAAAGATAGATAATATTACATACACATAGAATATAAATCCATCAAACAACCTGTCAAGTTCTCAGCCAATTATGGATGGGGGCAGCTCCAACAACACTCAAGAAGCTTGACACCATCCAGGACAAAGCAATTCGCTTGACTGACATAACGTTCACTCCCTCTACCACCGACGCTCAGTAGCAGCAGTGTACACTATCTACAAGATGCACTGCAGAAATTCACTTAGACAGCACCTTTCAAACCCACGACCACTTCTATTTAGAAGGACAAGGGCAACAGATACATGGGAACACCACCCCCCTGCTAGTTACCCTCCAAGCCACTCAGCATCCTGACTTGGAAATATATCCCCGTTCCTTCACTGTCATTGGATGAATATCAAGAAGTTCCCTTCCTAATAGCATGAAGGGTGTAAATGCAGCATATGGACTGAAACAGTTCAAGAAGACAGCTCACCACCACCTCCTGCAGCTCAACTGGGGATCGGCATTAACAGCCAGTGACACCTATATCCCATGGAAGAACTTCTTAAAAAGAGTTGAGTATTGACATGGAGAAGGACATGGAGAAGAACATGGGAAACCAAAGGAGAAACAAAGACTCTCTCCGGATTCAGCTCTGGAATGTGTGAAGGAACGCTCTGGCCTTGGATAGGCTGCAGCACAGATGAAGCTGTATTCCCTCAACTTAGAAGTTTAATGGGTAATCTAATCAAGGTGTATAAGATGATTAAAAGATTTGATAGGGTCACTCCAGAAGAACTATCCCCTTGGGTGGGTTCGGGGGGGTGCAGGAGTCAGAGGGATCGAAAACAAGGAAGGAGCTGAGCTGGTCAGGGTGATGTCAGGGAGCAATGCTGCTGCACGTACAGCTGGCAACGTGCAGGTACACAGCTTCCACTTACAGACCTGAGAGGTCTGCCAAGCAGCAAGAAATAGTCGAGGGATTGCTGTTGCTGGTGGATCAACTGGAAATGTCATTATTGAGACAGACAGATATTCATTGGGTAAAGATAAATGCAGTTGAGATACAATCGGCAATGATTCAATCATTTGGTGGAAAGACTGGAGTCTGAATGAGCTCGCATGATCCCAAGTACAGAAAACCAGTGAAATCAGAAATGAGTAAAATAGAGGGAAGGGTACAGCACTGACACACAAATATGCAGAATGAGCAGTCAGAGCACCTCCAAACACCAAGGGAGTTCCATCAGAGGGTAAATGTAAATAAGTGGGCACAGCAGTGGGGTGGCAGGGGCTGGTTTGGAGATGGGTGGAGGGATCAAGTCAGAGTTTGATTGACCCCATGGTGGAACCAAGCAACCAATTATTTGGTTTGGTCCAGGTTACTCACCAAGTTGAGGCAGGAGATACAGTGCTGGGCCCTCCCAGTGTGGCACAGTGGCAGTGCCCCTGCCTCTGAGACATAAGGTCTAGGTTCACATCCCACCTACTCCAGAGGTGTGTCATTAATGGTCACAGGCTGTTGATCAAAATAACTGTACGAGCCTGAGATTTACTGGGGCACAGAGTCTAAAAATCAAGTGACTCTAAACTATGCCCAATTCTGGGCACCACATTTTACAAGGTCATCAAGATATTGGAGAGGGTGCAGAGTGAATTACTGACATTGGGACATGACACTGCAGTTCACGTAGAGAGACTGAGGTGGTGGTTAACGGGGGCTGAGTAGAACTGTTCAGAATCATAAAAGGTTTGGATGGAGTAAATAAATAGAAACGGTTTCCAATGGCAGCAACTGGGGTGGGGGGGACAGATTTAAGGTATTTGACAAAAACTGGAGGACAGATCAGCTTTTATGATGCTGGCAGTTTGTAATCTGGGACGCGTTGTCTGAAAGAAGCTTTAACTTTCAAAAGGGAATGAGTAAATATGGAAAGGGACAAAGTTTGCGAAGCTACAGGAAGAAAGCTGTGAGAGATGGATCAGTCTGTCTAGCAAAGAGCTGACACAGCCTCGGAGGCTTCATACCTGTAATAAGCTAGCTGCAGGACCACCTGGATAAAGGCATCTGGGCTCATCTTCTGCGACTTCACAAAGTCTTTTCCAAAGTGCTGGAACACGAAGCATTTTATATCCACATCACGCACCATCCTAGTGACAGAGATAGATAACTATTAAAATTGTCACTGTAAATATAACCCATTGTAGACCCTGAACCCTCTCAGCTCTCCTTGCAAAGTTCTCTGGGTCCTGTCAGTATATAATTTTACACTTCTTCCAGCAGGGGATGTTCAATAGCAATTTGAGACAGGCCCCCAGGTAATGTTATTTTCTCTCTGAAGCCTCCTATCCCACTGCCCAGAGCCTGATATCCAATTGCAGTGACACCACTCCCAACCCTAACCCTTAGTTGCTTTCCTTTGGGGAAATGTTGAATGAACAGAGAAAAGGGTTGGTGTAGCAGATTGCAACTACCCACTTAGTAATTAGAAAAAAAAATCCCTCCAAAATAATATGTAACACCTTCCCCAGGTGACTATAAGCAATTCTCCAAGTTAAGCACAAAAAGCAGGAGCGGGAGCAAGTCTTTCTGCTCCTTAAACTCACTCTGCTATTCACTAGGATCCTGTTAGAAACACATCTTTATGGATGATGAGAATTGGAAGATTTGGACAATTGCTGGGATGCAAAGTGTTTGCCATGTGGTTTTTTGGAAGTCAGAAATCAAAAGGTCAAGGAGAAATGAGACTTATTTCCTGTTTACTGGAAAAACTAGTAGTTTTGAGAGCTGACATCCCCAAAACTTCTAAAGAGGGATAAGAGATTATGCTGATGTCCTTAATTGCTAGACAAACAGAACGAGATTCAGAAGAAGCCTTAGCTGAAAGTTGTGTGACAACAGCCTCTGAACTGAAGTCATTGTGTTTGTCAGGATACCTTTGTCGAGTCTATTGGAAAAGGACCTCCAAGTTGGAAATAGTAAAATGTGTCGCTTCTGAAAACTGGGAGTTTGAAGAATATAGATACAAGGGAAGTATCACTCTCGATGAGCAAAAGATAACCTTTAAAGAAAACCAGCTGAAGAGATCTCTCAATGAAGTATTTTCTGTGAACCTGAGAATTTTCCAAAAGTCAATATCTCACCTTCTCAAATTCTGAATTGTTACATCAATTCAAAGACCTAGGTCTAACTGACCTTCCAAACAAAGAGAGTCTTCAATCGCTCTGTGACTCAAAGCAATCTGATCTGGTCAATAGGAAATCAAAGGAACTGTAAGAACTGAATCAATTCTACATTCCAGGCTTGAGCCCTCGACTTAGAAGTGAGTGTCGTTCCATTTTTTATCTGAATTAGTAATAACTGCAGAGTTGTGTTTCCTCCCGTTTCTGTGCATTAGGAGAACGTGCTGGGATAAAGTGAGAGTATAGTTCAAGTCTGCAAAGTAGCTACTGTAACTGATTTTGCCACTTGTTTAAAGAACAAGTTTGTTTGAATAAACAAGTGGTTTTGAGTTTTTTGAAGGAATTTGATCAAGTTTATTTTGTTCAGTAAAATAATTGACCATTTTGCTAATAAAATAAACTATTGACACATTGGTGCAGCTTCTGATTGGAAATCCATCTTAGCTTCATTTTCTTGCTCTATCGCCACATCCCTTAATATTCAGGTGTCCAAAACTGCATCAACCTTGTTCTTGAATCTACTCAATGACTGAGCATTCACACCATCTGGGGTAGAGAGTTCTGAAGATTCACCCTCAGTCTTAAATGGTAATCCCTTATTGTGAAACTGTGACCCATATTCTAGACTCCCCCAGCTTCTGTGAAACAGCCTCTTGGCATCTTCCCAGTCAAACCCTGTCGAAGGATTTCAATGAAATCACCTCTCTTTCTTCCAACCTCCAGAGCGGGCAGATCCATTCTAACCAATTGTGCCTCCCAATGGAACCTTCCCATTTCAGCAATCAGTCTGAACTGCGCTATACATCCGCAATAGCTAGAATCTCTTTCTCCAGGTAAAGGTGATGAAAACTGTAAATTACACTCTAGCTATGATCATATGAACATACAAACCGTGAGCTGGAGTAGGCCATTCGGCCCCTTGAGCATGCTCCACTATTCAATAAGATCACAGCTGGTATGATTACTTCACATTCCCACCTATTCCTCCAGAACTTCTCACTCCCTTCCTCATCAAAGGTCCATCTATCTCTGCCTTTGAACACTGCTTCAACCACCTTTTGAATCACTTGTGTGGGGAAAAAAAAATCCCTCTTGTTTTATTCCCTTGTGGGACGTTGGCATTGCTGGCTAGGCTTCTGTCTTAAACAGTCTCACCAAAGCCCCGAACAAGCAGCAACCATCCTAATGTGAAATGATATCATCAAGCCCTCATCGTGGCTGGGTCAAAAATCTGGAAACGTCTTTTGGGGGGGGGCTCGGTGAGTCTTTATATCCATATCACGCACCATCCTGGTGGCACGGTGGCTCAGTTGTTAGCATTGCTGCCTCACTGCACCAGGGGCCCAGGTTCAATCCCACCCTCAGGTGACTGTCTGTATGGAGTTCTCCCCATGTCTGTGTGGGTTTCCTCCGGGTGCTCCGGTTTCCTCTCACAGTCCAAAGATGTGCAGGTTAGGTTGGCAATGCTAAATTGCCCAGTGTCCAGGGATATGTAAATTAGGTGGGTTACAGGGAAAGGGTAGGGGGATGGGTCTGGGTGGGATGTTCTAAGGGTCGGTGTAGACTTGATGGGCTGAAGGGCCTGTTTCCACACTGTAGGGATTCTATGATGCCTAATGCACCGAGGGTGGCCCTACTCCACACAGACTGCAGTGGTTCAGGATGGTGGCTCCCCACCACAAACCCAGGGCAATAAATGACAGGTTTACTACAGCAATGCTCACAGTCTGAGAACCCAATATTAGGAGGAAACTCACATGTTGAGGTTCTGTTTCGCTTTCTCAATGTCTCTCTTTATATCAGGCGTGATGTTGAAACGGAGCTTCCGAGGCATGGCCAATGGAATCATTGGAGAACGAATCATCGCCGAGGTGTTGCTGGGGAGACACCAAATGTTCATTTAGTTACTGATTTCACAGACTCTGCAGAACAGCAATAACTTATTCAAACATTTCTGAGGAAGGGTCCCGACCCGAAATGTCAGCTTTCCTGCTCCTCTGATGCTGCCTGGCCTGCTGCGTTCCTCCAGCTCCACACTGTTATCTATGACTCCAGCATCGGCAGTTCCTACTATCTCTGAGTCATTCAAACTATCTGCTCTGTGCTGGTGTTTTTGCTCCAATCCTCACCATCTCAGCCACTACTTTATCCTTCTGTTCCTTTCTCCCACGTGTTTATCCACTTCCCCCTAAATACATCTACACCATTCACCTCGACCATACCAAGTTCTGCAATGTCATCATTTTGAGTAGAGGTTGCTCCTGACTTCCCGACTTGGAATATTGGCACGACAGCATTGCAAACTGAGAAGGATGGTTTGTGGTGTGTTGGCTCACTGTGCAGGAGATGGACCTTGGCACAGCAGTCTCTACTACCCTGGCTGCTAAGGAAGGCTGTGAGCTGGGAAGGAGCACGATTTGGAGGAAAACGCAGCTGGTCTAGTTAGAATGCTTGCAGACAATACAAAAATTGGTGGGGTTGTGGATAGGGAGGGGGATTGTCAGAGGTCACCGCAGGATATAGATCAGTTGGAGGCATTGGCAGAAGAATGGCAGAAGGAGTTTAATTCAGACCAATGTGAGGTGATGCATTTTGGAAGGTCAAGTACAGGTGGAAATTATACAGAACCCTCAGGAGTATTGATATGTAGAGGGATCTGTGTGTATAGATCCACAGATCACCGAAGGTGGCAGCGCAGGTAGATAAGGCTAAAAAAGGCCTATGGCATGCTTGCGTTCATTGGAAGGGGCATTGAGTATAAGGATAGACAAGTTATGTTGCAGCTTTATAAAACTTTAGTTAGACCAGACTCAGAATATTGTGTACTGTTCTGGTCACCACACTACCAGAAGGATGTGCACGCTTTGGAGAGGGTACAGGAAAGGTTTACCAGGATTTGCCTGGTATGGGGTATTTTAGCTATGAAGAAAGGTTGGATAGACTGAGTTTGTTTTCACTGGAACGCAGCAGGTTGAGGGGTGACCTGATAGAATTTTATGAGATTGTGAATGGCATGGATAGAGTGGAATGTATGAAGCTTTTTCCCAGGGTGGGGGTGTCAATTACAAGGGGACACAGGTTCAAGGTGCTGGGCAGTCAGGTGGGGATGTAGTTTATAAGAGACATGAGAGGCACATCTTCCACACAAAGGGTGGTGAGTGCCTGGAACGTGCTGCCAGAGGAGGTGGTGGAAGC